GTTATTGACTGTGTCCATGGGCTATGCGTATATGCATATAACTTCTTTGGTTAATCTCTTCCCACCCTTCACCCCCTTCCCTCTTTCCTCTGAAATATGATCGTCTATTGTATGCATCTGTGTCTCTGGATCTATTTAGTTCGTCAAATTCTTTTGTTCATTAGCTTCTTCTTAAAGAAGACCCATCAGCATTTCCTGTAGTGCCGGTCTGGTGGTGATGAACTCTTTTAGCTTTTTCTTGTCAGTGAAGCTCTTTATCTGACCTTCAGTTCTAAATGATAGCTTTGCTGGGTAGAGCAATCTTGGTTGTACTTCCTTGTTTTACATCACTTTGAATATTTCTTGCCACTCCCTTCTGGCCTGAAAAGTCTTTGTTGAGAAATCAGCTGACAGTTGTATGGGTGCTCCCTTGTAGGTAACTAACTGGTTTTCTCTTGCTGCTTTTAAGATTTTCTCTTTGTCTTTAACCTTTGGCATTTTAATGATGATGTGTCTTGCTGTGGGCCTCTTTGGATTCCTCTTGTTTGTGACCCTCTGTGCTTCCTGGACTTGTAAGTCAATTTCTTTCCCCAGGTAGGGGAAGTTTTCTGTCATTATTTTTTCAAATAGGTTTTCAATTTCTTGCTCTCTTCTCCTTCTGGCACCCCAACAATACGAATGTTGGGCCTCTTGAAGTTGTCCCAGAGGCTCCTTATACTACCTTCATATTTCTGGAATCTTTTTCCTTTTTGCTCTTCTGGTTGGGTGTTTTTTGTTTCCTCATGTCCCAATTGCTGATTTGATTCTCAGCGTCGTCTACTGTACTGTTGATTCCTGGTAGATTATTCATTTCAGTTTGTGTAGCCTTCATTTCAAATTGGTACTTTATTATGTCATCAATTTTCTCAGTTGTTTTCGTAATACTCTTACTAATATGGTTGAGCATCGTTATAAACAAAATTCTGAACTCTGTATCTGTTAACTTGCTTGGTTCTATTTCATTTAGTTCCTCTTTTAGAGATTTCTTCTGTTCTTTCCGTTGTGACATGTTTCTTGGCCTCCACATTTTGGCTCCTTCCAGGTGTTTGTTTCTATGTATTAGGTAGAGCTGCTATTGCCTCTTGGAATTTGTAGAGTTGCTTTGTGTAGTAAGGGTCCTGTAGAGTCCAGTGCTCAGCCTCCCCAGTCACCTAAGCTGGGCCTTCTAGGTGCTCCCTTGTGTGGGCTGTGTGCTCTGACCTGTTGTAGTTGAGCCTTGGTTGCTGTTGGTGTCACTGGGAGAAATTGACCCCTAGGCCAATCAGCTGTGAGGACCAGCTGCAACTACAGCCAAAGAGCTGCTGTGCTGGAGACACCCCTATGGAGCAGGATTTACTTTAGTGGAGCTTTGGTGTTCACCAAGTGCGTCCCTTGAGTGTGTCACTGGTGGATGTGGTAGGGTTGTAATCCAGCGTGGTCAAGTATGACCACCAGGTACACTGTCTCTAGGGCCTCCCGGGAGGTGCAAAGTCAGCCTCTGCCTGGCCCTGCCCAGGGCCACCCAGCATGAGCTACATAGCAAACCGTAGTTGGCTGCTACTTGTGCTGTGCTTGGCGTTGTCCAGGAGCAGCCAAGCTATGAGCCAGTGCAGGCTGCCGCTAGTGCCAGGCCTGGGCCACTTATCAAGCTGTATGGGGCCCACTGCTGCTTGTTTGAGAGATTTTAGGAAAGTCCTAAGCATGAGGCTCAAGAGGCCACTTGTACAGAAAAGCCACTGGAAATGGCCTGGATGAGCCTGCAGGTGGGGAGAGGCGGGGTCTCTGGAATCACCAGGGCAGGGCCAAAAGTGTGAGTCAGGTGCTGGAGATTCAAGTATGGCGCCTGCCTGCTGTTTGTGCGGGAGGACTCGCCAAAGGAGCAATGGTCTCTGCCAGCTCTTCTGCCTGGGAGAAAGCTGCCCCTCCACCTCTCACCCCGATTTCAGGCAGGTTAGTTCCTCCCCAAGTGTCCCAGGTTCCTTTCAAGCTCCTGCCGGCGCTGGGCTCAGAGGGAGGGGGTCCAAGTGAGTTCATGCGTGGGCCCTTTAAGAGGAGCTGCTGGGGCTTCGGCAGCCTCCGCGACCCTCAGCCACAGTCCTGGCTGGTTTCACAGCCCGGAGTTGTGGGGGCTTCTCTTCCTGCACTGGGACCCTGGGCTGGTGTCCCATTGTGGGGGTGGGACCCCTTGCTGCTCCAGGAAACCTCCACCGCCGAGAAGTCCTTCCTGGGTTTACCCTGCGGCACTGGGTGTGGGCCTGCTGCCGAGTCTCTGTGATTCAGCCTGGATCCACCCGCGTCTCCACCCCTCCTACCGTCTCGGTGCTTGTTCAGTTCCTGGTTGTAGGGCTTCTGTTCAGCTGGATTTCAGGAGGCTCTGAGTGATGGTGGTTCTGTATTTTAGTTGTAATTTTGAGGTGGTTGTGGGAGGTGGTGGGTACAGCTGCTACCTTTGCTGCCATCTTGTTTCCTCCCTCCATGCTGTCTCTGTTTTTTTCTAGTTCTGCTCTCTTTCTGTTTTCAATGCCTGGCTTCCATAGGGCATGTTACCAAAGACCTGGTGCTGAACTCCTAGAATATACTTGTCTCAGCAACGGGACCAGTAATCACTGCTCCTCTGAGTGTATTAGGAAGGACTGAGATATTGACATGCTTTTTTTCATCTTCATATATTCCTAAGAAATATGTAATATTACTTTATATATATATTTTTTATTTTAAAATTTATTTTTAATTAAATTTATTGAGTGTGGCATTGGTTAATAAAATTATATAGGGTTCAAGTGTACAGTTTTGATAAATCATCTGTATATTGCATTGTGTGCCCACCACTCAATGTCAAGTCTTCTTCTGTCACCATATGTTTAAACCCCTTTAAACTGTAATATCCGCCTGTTTCCCTCCCCACTGGTAACCACCATATTGTTGTCTGTGTCTGTGCATTTTTGTTTATTTTTCTTGTTTGCTCATGTGTTGCTTTCATTTTTATATCCCACATAAGAGTATCTGATTTTACTTTATATATTTTTAAACTTTGTATAATGTTTTACCCATTTATCTGCAGCCTACTTTTTCCTTGAACATTGCTTTTTGACTTATCCCTATCAATACATGTAGCCCTTGTTCATTCATTTTCACTGTTGATATTATGTTACACAAATACCACACAATTTTAAAATCCTTTTTCCTATTACCAAGTTAATAGGTAATAATTTCCCATTACCAGATTATGGCTGGGATGAACATTCAATATATATGTCTTCTCATGTGTGCATGTGAATTCTGGACTGCACTGTCTAATATAGTAGTTACTATCCACATGTAACTATTTAAATTTCATTTTAAATGAAATAAAATTAAGAATTCCATTCCTCATTCACATTTTAAATGCTTAGTAGATCAGATATGACCATTAATTACTGTATTGGACAGAGCAGAAAATTCTGTTAGAGAGAATTGACCTAGGGGCATATACAAATTAAATTGCTGGGTTGGAAGATACGGATTTACCAGAAATTGACAAATTGCTTTTCAAAGAGTTTCTGCCATGGGGTAATTGAATTGTCATTGGTGTAGGAGCATTCCTGTCAACCTAAACTTTGTCAACACTTGGTATTGTCAGATGTTTTAAGTCTTTCCAATTTATGTGGAATGAAATGATTAGATATACTTCCTCATATTTTATATATATGAAATCTCCCTATTCTACTCCTCTTTCCCTAATAAAAAAGCAAAAGTTGTTATGCCCTTTTCTTCCTTAATTATATATATTTGAGATTTTTCCATGTCACAGCATATACAGGATAATCATGCAGGCCCTACATATACAAATTAGAAATTACATATGTGCTCATCTTCATCCTTGGCATTTTTTGTTCTTGTGATAAAATATATATGCAATAAAATTTGCCATTTTAATCAATTTTAACTGTACAATTTAGTGACATTACATTCACAATGTTTTACTTTCATCACCACTATCTTTTTTTAAAGCTTTTTCATTACCCCAAACAAATTATGTACCCATGAAGCAATAACTCCCATCTCCACTCCCCTTATAAATTTGAGAATCCACTTTTCCAATTCTGAAAAAACGCTATTGGAATTTTGATAGGGATTGCATAAATCTGTAGATCATTTTGGGTTGCCAGATCTTGACAATGCTGAGTCTTTGAAACTATGAATGCTAGTTGTCTTTCCATTACTTTAGGTCTTATTTATTTGTCAATAGGTTGTAAATTTTCAGAGCACAGGTCTTTGAACTTCTTGGTCAAATTTATTCCTAGGCATTTTATCCTTTGGATGCTATTGAAAATGGAATTGCTTTCTTAATTTCCTTTTCAGATTGTACATTGATGATGTATAGAAACAAATTGATTTTTGCATGTAAAAGTATATGTGAATTCCAAGAAGTAGACTTTAACTGCCTCTTTAAAGTGCTGCAGCTAGGCTTGATGGAAGATTTGTATCCCCTCTCTGTTTTCAAAGTATAAACAAATCACGGGCAAAAAATAAATAAATAAAAAATAGCAGATCATCTGTTTCATAGCAGGACCCAGAGAATATTCAAGCTCTTCACCAGCTCTTCACCACTGTGCATATTCTGCTGCTCACAGAGCTTTAGTAGATAGTGAAAAAAAATCTTAGTCAAGAGCACTTGATTCATCAGTGATTTAGTAATTTCATCTGACCTTCCCTAACTTTTCCTAATGTAATGTGATATAGTATGTGAAAATTTTTCTTTTATTTTTTATTTAAGTCTGTGTTATAGAGTCTCACTCTAAAACTTTCTTTCAACCACCTTGTCAAGGAAGAATATAAGGAATTTCACAATCAAAGGTTGTAGATTAGTGATATTTATAGTAGCACTTAGGTACTGTGTAGATTTGGCAATACATTTTTGGAAGATTTTATTTAAAATATATTGATATAGGAAATGTGTTACCTTTAAAATAATGTAGTTGATTATAACTAAGACTATAATACTTTATAATATTCAGTTTAAAAAATGAAAACTAGATCACCAACTTACACCATACACAAAAATAAACTCAAAATGGATGAGACTTTAAGACATGAAACCATAAAAATCCTAGAAGAAAACATAGGCAGCAAAATCTCAGACATCTCTCGTAGCAACATGTTTGCCAATACATCTCCTAGGGCCAGAGAAACAAAGGAGAAAATAAACAAATGGGACTGCATCAAAATACAAAGCTTCGGCACAGGAAAAGAAACCATCAACAAAACGAAAAGGGAGCCCACTGTATGGGAGAACATATTTGCCAATGACACATCTGATAAAGGTTTAATATCCAAAGTATATAAGGAATTCATACAATTTAACAAAAGGAAGACAAACAATCCAATTAAAAAATGGGCAAAGGACCTAAATAGACACTTCTACAAAGTGGACATACAGATTACCAAGAGACATATGAAAAAATGCTCAAAGTCACTAATCATCAGAAAGATGCAAATTAAAACCACAATGAGATATCACGTCCCACCTATCAGAATGGCTACCCTCAACAAATCAACAAACGACAAGTGCTGGTGAGGTTGTGGAGAAAAGGGAACCCTAGTACACTGGTATTGGGAATGCAGACTGGTGCAGCCACTATGGAAGACAGTATGGAATTTCTTTACAAAATTCAAATTGGGACTGCCATTTGACCCAGTGATCCCACTTCTAGGACTATATCCTAAGAAAACCAAAACACCAATTAGAAAGAATCTGTGTACCCCTATGTTCATAGCAGCGCAATTTATAATAGCTAAAATCTGGAAACAGCCCAAGTGCCATCAGTAGATGAGTGGATAAAAAAGCTGTGGGACATTTACACCATGGAATACTATGCAGCTGTAAAAAAGAAGGATCTCTTACCCTATGGGACAGTATGGATTGACCTGGAGAGTATTATGCTAAGTGAAATAAGCCAGTCAGAGAAAGACAAGGACCACATGATCTCACTCATATGTGGAATGTAATAAACAAAATAAACTGATGAATAAAATAGATCCAGAGACATAGAAGCATGGAATAGACTGAGGGATCTCAAAGGGAAGGTGGGGAGGGCAGAATGGGTAGGGAGAGATTAACTAAAGAACTTCTATGTTTGTAAGCATAACCCATTGACACAGACTTTGGTATGGGGAAGGCCTGGGGTGGAGGGGATCAATGGGGGAGAAAAGGAAAAAAAAACCCTGAAGAAAAAAAAAATAAAAAATATATATATATAGCCTTAAAAGAATTAAATCTTCCATATTCAATGCTAAACATGTTGAATAAGCAAAATCTTTTTAAATGTCAGCATTATAAGTAAGTTGTCTATTCATTGATTTAAAATATATTGGTTATTTTACATGGAAAAAAATAAACTGTATAGAAAATATATTTATGAGTGCATTGTGGTAATAACTTTTTTCCTTTTCTTTTGTAGCCTATATATGCAAACAGATTTCCTGTACCAACTTACGCAGCCAAGCAGCCTCAGCAGTTCCCATCAAGGTCTGAAGTGAATTTGCTTAGATTACTTGACCAGAATAAAATCCAGAGTTAATGTCTAATATTTTTTCTCCTATTTTAATTTGATTTAGGACAAGTATTTATTGTCCACAGTTTAGATAGAGCACAATATACAGAAAAGCTTTTAAGGATTTTTTTGTTTTGTCATATTAGTTCAGTGTCAAAATGAAATTTTAAAAGCAGCCTCAATAAGACAGTAAACTTCTGCTGCAGCCTTTGGTATAAATAAGGTTCAGAAAGAAGGATTTTTAAAATAATCAACAATGGGAAACCATGTGGGCTTTACTAGGCACCAGAGAACTACCAAGAAATGAGGAATTGTGGGGCTGAGATCCAGGAGAGGAACACAGTCTGGTGGTGACCCCAGCTTTGGGGGCCACTTTTCTGTTGTAGCTGTGCTTATCGAGAAAATGAGAACAGAGTTTAGGAAGCTGTGGAGAGTTTTCAGCAAACACAGGCTGAGAGGAGGAAAATTGGAGCCCTGCCAAGGAGGTACCTGGCACATACCCAGGGCTTGGTGTTGCAGCCCACGGGGTAGGGGGAACTAGATCCCCAACTTACTTTTACAGGTTTTTTGTTATGTTTGTCCCCCGACAAAAAAAAAAAAGACAGACATATAAGAAAATGTGACTAAAACCAAGAAAAGTAATCAACTGTAGAATCAGACTCAGAGGGTATCTAGTTAATAGAGTTATCAGACATGGACCGGACAGGATGGAATGGGTCATTGGGGAGAAAAAGGGACATCTGTAATATTTTGAGGGGGAAAAAAAAGTCAATATTGAGAATTTCAGCACTGAACTAGAATCTTTAAAAAAGAATCAAATTGAAGACTCAATAGATGGGCTTAAAATCAGCAAAAAAGGAGAAAATTTATTACTATATTTTGCATTGCATAAAATGCATCCCACCTCCCAAAGTCTTTCAAATTGCAATTGAATTGCAACACTGAGGCATGTCCTCACGTTTAATCTTTATTATACAGTAAGAGCGTGCTGAAATCTAACTGAGCATCAAGAAAAGAATATATAAAAACTGTGAGAAAAATATTCACCAGGTAATGTTGTAGTGTTATTGGATTAGTGGTATACTAGAATTGATCAAAAAGAGATTAAGGAAAGGATGTCCACAGGTTAAAGTATGAGGATTGAGAAGGACAGGTATAGAAGTCATAGCAGTTTAATTCCCAGAGTGGATATGATGTTTGAGAGAGCTGGAATTTCAGCTCTATGTATATATGTAAGGTTTATACTTACATAATTTCCTGCCTTTAAATCCTAACAGCACAAGGAGTGCTTAATCCATATAGTGTCCTCACTTGTCTTTTACCATTTGTCTTTTCAATTTCATATGCTATTCTTTTTATTTTTTATTTTTTCATTGATTTTTAGAGACAGAGGAAGGGAGCAGAAAGAGAGAAACATTGATGTGAGAGTGAAACATCGATCTGCTGCCTCCTGCACGCGCCTCATGGGGCATCGAGCCCACAACCTGGGCATGGGCCCTGACTGGGAATCGAACTGGCAACCCTTTGGTGCACGGTTTGATGCCCAACCAACTGAGGCACACCAGCCAGGGCTGTGCTATTCTTTTTAAAACATATAAAGCAGGACCTCTAGACAACATTGCTGATTATAGAATAACATTAATTTAATATAAGTACTCCATTTTAGACTCTGGTGACCTTTACCCATTGCATATCAGATTAATAATAATCTCAGAATATCACATACCCTTAAGAATGGTTAGCAGTATTAAGGATGGCATTATGTTGGGTTTTTAAGGAATGTAGTATTATTTTATTCTGCCTGAACACATGATTAACTGTGTTTTTCTTCTCACAGGCCACCTCCACCACAACCGAAAGTATCATCTCAGGGAAATTTAATTCCTGTTCGTCCTGCTCCTGCGCCTCCTTTATATAGTTCCCTCGCTTGATTGTTTTACCTTTCCTTTTACAGATGTCTTCAGGGAACTGAGCTAATCCTTTTTTTTTCTTCTGATATTTTCTTGAAAATCCTTTCCTCCTGCTGCAACTATGAATGAAAATAAAACACCACAAAACAAACTTTACTAACACAGAAAAACAGAAATTGAGTAGTGGGAATTGAGAAAAGAAATTCAATGAAGTCAGGGAATTTAGAATAACATTTTCATTTCCATCACTGAATAAGTCTTATTCAGTCATCTGTGAAGTTAATGCACCTAATAACATGAATTGGTATTTTGAACATGTTACTGTAATGATTCTCAAATTAATTGTATTGGTTTAAGTTTTGTTATTATGTGCTTAAATGTAATTATGACCTTTGACCTTAGTTATCATTAATGTAGTTCCAGGTTGAACATGTGATAATCTAATACCTATGAACACTAACTGCCAATAATATCTAATATTTTTCATTTTGCACAGACTAATCATCATATGCTAGAATCATGAATAAAGGTTTGTTCTGTCTTCAGAAGAATGCACAAATCCCACAATTAAGATAACAATATTACTTTTTAAGTACAAAATACACTTAAAGTGTATATGTGTATATTCACACACAGTTATCTCCCATTTGATTCTGTGGATTCTATGGGTAATAGACGCTATGGATCTATCTATGGATAATGAATATTAGAAAAATTAATTTAAATAGAATTCCGTTGTGAATCATGTTAAAACATGACATCCTTTTACAATAGCATTATTTTAATAAAGTATAAATTTTAAGGTACAAAGTATTTAATAGAACTAATCAAGATATACTATTGATTCAAGGCTATGTAAAGCAGGAGCAATTGTATCTTCAATCAGTTGAACTGTTATAAAACCACTTGAGAATTTCCTGAGCACTTTAATTAAGTTTAAAATCTGAAACTTCAAAGCTTGCTATTAATGTAATTTAGAATGTTTACATTTACTAAAGTGTGCTGGAACATGTTTCTCTTGAACTAATATTTTCAAAGAAATTAGGCTAGAGAAAGGAAGGAAGAAAAGGTTTTCTTAGATAAGTGCAAAATAGTTATGTGGTGTCCGTGAGTTATCATCACAACTGTTAAAAATGAATTTTTACTATGGAAGAAATGGTGTGAATGGTAAAAATTTAAGTACTTAAAAATTTTACATAACCTTTCATAATAAAGTTTAATAATAGGTTTATTAACTGAATTTTCCTTAGTTTTTCCAAAAGAATTTTGGTTTGTGTATATATACGTATGCAAATATAACACAATAAAAAAATTACTTGAAATTCTGTTTTGTGTTGCAAAGTAACTTTCTACTCAGCTGTTTATAATATTAATTAAAACATTATACTAAGCAAAACTATTGTACTAGTCAATCTTTTACAGATATTTCACTAATATTTAGATTTCTGTCAAATTGTACACAATGGCTTTTTGTTATTAAAGGAAAACAGTTTTGAAGAAGATATTTCAGTTCTCTGAAGATGATACATTATTTTAACAATCAGGCATACATTAAAAATTATAAACAATCCCAAATGAAGAATCTTCATTTCTATTTAAATCCCTGAATGAATTAATATAAGGCTAAAATATTTGTGTCTTTTATTCGTATAGTCTCAATTTCTGCAATTGAATTCATATCACTGGAATTTTACGGTTGGTAATACATTAACTATGTATTTTAAAACTTTTTTCAGAATAATTCCTTGGATCTCTGAATATTTAGAAAGTTTTTCTAAAAGACTAGTTGATTAGTTTAAATTCTTTTACTTTCATATATATATATTTAGAAATTTATATGCTTTTCACTTTGGTTTGCCCTTAATTTATTTTGATTGCTATTAAAAGTTGTAAAATTTCATGGTCATAGATGCCACTTCAAAATTTGAAAATATTAAAGGGCTTCCTTGCCATCTGCTGAAGATGTTTTAATGGTCAAGGATAAATTAAATGTAACTTTGATGTAACTGTTTGAGTATATGCTCACATATTTACTTTGTTTAGGGTATTGCATTTTCCCTTCCTATCAAGCAGGTGCCTGGGTCTCTAACCATATAGTTAAGCACAATGCAGGTTTTCTAAGCACAAATCAGAGTTTATTAAATTACATAAATGTTTTCTCAAACTCTACCATCTTGCAGGTACTACATTAGGTAGTGTGATATATAAGTTCTCAATCAGATTGCCTTCTGTTATGGAGAGGGTCACATATACAGGAAGATTAATATAAAATCTGCTCTATTAAAGATTTATTAAAGGTTGAGGAGAGGGAAATAACAAAGAAATAACTAGAAATTTATTCAAAATACCACTAATTTACAAATCTAAGCATTTACTGTAATTGTTCTTCTAATGCTATAAAACAAGATGAAACCAGATTTTTCCTCAGCTACTGTCTAAAAGTGTTAATGTAGCATTGGCTGTTCCTCTTGAGATACAAGCTAATTGTTATATTTTTGTTGCCTTTTAGTTTGTGTGCCTGCCTTTATGTTAATTAGTGTGAGAATTCATTCTTTGGGACTTTAAAATAATTAAAAGATAGTGTATATAGGTAGAGACTGGGGTGAGGTGAGGCAGGGAGGCAGGAGGCATTGCACTCCAAGGGAATAAGGCAGTGTTCATTCAGGAAAGACCAGAAGTTGAGGTGGCCAAAGCATTGAGGGGTAAATGAAAATAGGTGGCAGCCTGGGTTCCGATTATAGAAAATGGTAAATACTGTTTTGAAGAATTTGGCTAGAGTTTTCTACTGGAACATACATACTATAACTATGGACAAGAATCTTGTCCATCACATTTACTACACAAATGAATGTTCATTGAACTGTGAAGTTACTAAAGAGAATGACATCATATGAATTTTAGCCAAGGCCCTGCGTAGAACCAGATCAATTGGAGGAAATAATAGTTTGTTTACAATGTGCATTTGGACAGTAAGTACAGGGGGAAAAAAATGTAGCAGGTTCTTTCCAAAGATATCAAAATCTACTGACTTCATTTTTGGAATCTAGTGTTTTGTTTTGTTTTAGAAAGCAGCTAGTGGGTTTTTTTTGTTTACTTTTTAGGAAACCCAGCTTTAGTAAATGTGAAGATGTATATTTGTGTGTGTCTGTGTTCTAGTTATTTTTCTTATTTTAATTTTTTAAAATTAAATTTATTGTGGTGATAGGGGTTAATGATTATATAGGTTTGAAGTGTATTCTATGATATGTCATCTGTGTATTGCGTTGTGTGCCGACCACCCAAATTCAAATCTTCTCTCACCATACAGGGGTGGGCAAAAGTAGGTTTACAGTTACTCATATGAGAAAAGTCATGCAGGTTATAATTATTACAATAGCTTTATTAACTCAATGTTACTACATTTGCTCACCCCTGTATATAGTCTGATAGATGACTTATAGGATATCATATTTACCTTTCAACTCAGACCTGATGGGACTCTATTTCCTATTAGGCATTTATGTAATATAGCTCTGCTGGTGTGGTATGGGAGACAACAACCAAATTCTCAAAATACATCAGAATCAGATATGTGGATTTTTTTTGTTTTTTGTTTTTTGGTTTTTTGACTAAGATAAAACACCTGAAAGACAGTATTTCCTCATTACAAACTACTGATAGAGATTCTTCCATCTCTGTCTGAGCCCCCACCACACACTGCCAGGTATAACAAGTTTTCTAAGATGACAACACACCTCAAAATGCACTTATTTTTTATTGTCCCCACATAGAAATGGTACCATCCTTCTGAAGATATAAAAGGAAAGGAACTAAGGTACAAGGTTGGAGAGTGCTCAGAACAGATTGACTTAAAGTCTCTCTGTATTTCTAAAATTTCAATACTGTTAAAAATCTTCACCTTTAAAAAATATTCACAAGTATTCTATATTATCTGAGATAACCCAAGAAATTAAAGTATAAAATCAGACTCTCAGAATCAAGATCTTACTCAGTATCAAATTTTACAAAGAGTTTTAAGATTACAAGTAAGCATGAGATACAGGTAAAGCAGCAAGAGTTCTGAGGCCTCTACCACTGCTAGCCAGGTCCTGTCTTTCAGCACCCCAAGTACCCCAGCATGGCGTGGCCCAGTAATAGGTATGGCTTCTAAATAACTTACATATTCTCCTCACTTAATAGAAGGCAACATTGGGTTGCGAAACATCTTCATTTTATACTCAAATCATTTTATACCTTATGTGATATTTTCAGGGAGCTATGCCCCATTAATCCATAGATCCCATCTATGTTTTACCCTAAGACAACTAGATGCATGTCATTAAAAGCACTCCATAGATAGGTGACATTCCTGCTAGCAAAAACTATTTGGTTTGTTTAGCAGGCTTTTTTTTTTTTTTTTTTTT